TCCCCAAAGCCCCAGTAGATAGTTGTATGTCATAGTTGCACATCCTTCTAGTTGCTGTATGTGGGATGTCGCCTCAGCATGGCCGGAGAAGCGGTGCGTCGGTGCGCGCCCAGGATCCGAACTCGGGCCGCCAGTAGCGGAGTGCGTGCACTTAACCGCTAAGCCACGCGGCTGGCCCTATAATTTTCTTTTTAAAGGCTCATTAATATCACCATGATAAAGATGTGGTGGAAACTGTATCTCAGAGAGGCTAAGTGATCTATCCAGGGTCACACAGCTACTAAGTGGGAGAACTGAGATTCCAGTTCAAGACTGCATCCAAAGCCCAGATACTTCCTGCCACATTTTTTCTTGAGTAGGGGTTAATTTTGTTGGATAATACTTGGGCTGCCATAACAGTTCCTTTCCTCAACTTGACTTCTTCTTTGCTGGACTGAGTGTTAATATACATGTCCTTAAGGTAAAGGGTCCAATGGACTGCCTTTATTGAACTTCCACTTTGAAATTTCCTGACTTCTGTGCAGTTACGATCTACGCCTTAAACACTTCAGCGATGTGGTTTATTTATAGAGTTGTCTTCCGGTTCACGTGTACTGGGTCTGCTTTTGGGTGCTGCGTTTTCTGTCAAAGGTTGTTTATTTCTAACCCATTTTGATTTCCTGTTGCTTTGTGGATTGGTATTATGACCTGCAACAGGAACACCAGGAAACCTGTCCTAAATGAAGCAGCCAGATTGAGACCCTGTAGGTTAAAAAAAACACAAAAAACCACACATTATTATACAGCCATATTTGGATATAAGTATGGGTTAAGCATTGGCTATATTAGGCAAAAACCTAGATATAGAAACCTCACTTAGAGCCAAACTTTTGTCAACAGTTTTTCTGAAATAGGGCAGAGCCATTAGTTCCATGGCTGGGGCAGTGACTGTCTCTTTGAGCCTCAGTTTCTATATCGGTAAAATGGAGATTATTATACTTTCCTTGTGGCATTATTGAGAGGATTAAATGACATAATATGAGTAAAGCAAGCAGCCCAGGCCTGACCTCAATTAATAGTAGCTATTGATAATAATTAAAAAAGAGGAAAAAAATATTCCTCCATTTTTTTGATCCAGATCTGTTTTTACTGACTTCATAAACTGATCATTGACATCTAGCATCCCTTGCTATTAAAAATTCCATCAGGAGAAATTATTTTCCTTTGTGCTACTCATTTGCTTTTAAAAAATAATGATACTGACAGCTGGCTTTTATTAAACAGGCACTATATTCCTGGCACTGTGCTAGGTGTTTTACATGCATTCACAATCTCATTTTATTTTTAGATCAGGATTATTTTTCTCATTTTGCAGATGAGGAAAGTGATACCCAGAAAGGTGGAGTGAATTGCCCAAAGTTGAAATTTCCATCCAGTTCTGACTGACTCTAGGCCACCTTATACAACAGTAATGACATGCAAGATTCCTGTATGTGCCTGACCCCCTGTCATGGAAGTCTTTGAAAGGAAGAGTGATAGCTATCAGATCTTTTTTGGAGGCTCCTGCTGTTTGCTAGGCACTCTGCCAAGTGTTTTACCTGCATAAACTCATTTTTTCTTCCCAACCCTAAGAAATAAGTATAGTTATCTCCATTTTACGGTTAAGGAAATGAACGTGCAGAGATGTTCAGGGGCATTTAGTCCGTGATGAAGCTGGGAGTGGATTCCAAATCTTCCTGCCTGCAAAGCCTATGCTCTTATTCAATCCGTTATACTACATCGAAATTTTAGGATGGGATTTTTTCTTTTAATGAGACATGGAACTGATTTTCAAAGATAGTAGGTTCCAGGTATTTAATGCTAATTATTCTTAAATTTTAGCTGAATAATAGCCAGATGTGTGGCAGAAGCTATTAGGGCTTCATTTGTCAGTTAGCTAGGACTGTGTTCTATCCCAGAGGTAGCTGTAGGCTCTTGCTCTTTTCATGGTCAAAGACCTCAGAAATATGTGTAACTTGTGTTAACCCAGAGGAGGGTGGCATTTTCCAGAGCTTTAGTTCTGTGACATGGAAGACCTCAAACCTCAACCATGCTTCAGACTCACATTAAAGTGTATCCTAATTGGTAATCAGTGCATAAGGAACCAAAGAAAATTTTAATTAAATGCTGTTGTGTGAATTTTCCAGTCATTTTATGCCTGTTGAAATAGTTTTCTTATTTAGTTTAAAGTCCTCTTCCAGTGCTCTGCCCTCCCTATTTATAGTATAACTTCATCATGATTTTGTGCCTTTTCTCATATAAGGGTTTAATTAGCATCATTAAAGATTTAGGCTGCCGCACATTTGCTTGACTCTCTTCCTTGTGTGCTACAGGCATTTGGTGCAGTGGAAAGAGCATGGCGATTTGGAGTCTTACAGACAGTGGGCAAGTTACTTCAATCTCTGTGAGCCTCAGTTTCTTCGTCCTGTGAAACAGAGCTAATCATATTTCCTTGTCTGGCTGATGGGAGAGGGATTAGAGATAATTTATTTAAATTGCCTAGCACATAGCTCAGTGTATAGAAGTTGCTTGATAAGTGGTACACATAATTTTCTGAAGTTGTAATAGAGTCTGTTTTACTTACATCTCCTTTTTGTCTTATTCTTTTTAGTAGATGTTCACAAGGATTGTCTTCAGTCATGGCGTTGGGTTTAAGGTGCTTCCGCTTGGTCCCCCCTGCCTTTTGCAACTCTCTCACAGCCTTGACCAGACCTGTTTCAGAAGTTAAGCTGAAGACAGTGAGCGGAAGACAAAATGACCATGGGCAATACGTGGCCTATCCAGCTGTACCAATCCGTCATTTTGCCACCAAGAAAGCCAAAGGTAGAGACGTATGACCTCCTCACCCCTTTCTTATATTTAGCCCTTGATTTATCATAGCTGGGAGGGGTCTCAGAGATATACTGAATTTCTCCCCTTGCCACTTGAGGGAATGGTGTTTTAGATAGTTCAGTTTATTAGCTTAAAAGGTGACAGGGACAGAGATGGTATTAGAACCTAGGGTCTGTTCTCTTATTACCATGCTGCCTCATATGTTACCATGGCTCAGAAAATGCCAAATTTCTTTCTTTCAGATTTAGAATTAGAAGTGTAAGTGCCAAGCAAACCAGACTGCTTGTGCCAGGGATCAACATGTTTTCTCCTTATAGGAAGATCTGTGTTGGAAGTAAAATTAAAACCAGAAGGTTGTTGAGTATGGGGGTATTAGAGCTGTGGATTTAGATGGATGATCTTAATGGTTTGTGTCATCCAAGAATGAGACTTTGATATACCACAGGTCCCAGCTTAAATGTCACTTCCTCAGGGAAGCCTTCCCTGACCTCTTAGACTGGGTCAGGTCCCATGTTGCATGCAGTCGTGTGCCCTGTTATTTTACCTTTGACGTACTTAGCACAGCACTCATTAATAAATTAATTAATTGTAGGATTGATTATTGTTTGTTACATGTCTTCCATGCCGGGCCCTATGAGGACAGGGTCTGTGATTTTCTTGTTGAGCACCTAACAGGGACTGACATGTGGTGTGCATCAAAAAATTTTGTTGAATGAATGAATGAGTGACAGAAGATTGTCAGGCAGACCTGCTATTTGCAGTGGTGGGTCGGGGAGTCCACTCCCAAGGACGATGCTAGAAATCTGCTGCTGAATATTTTTTCCACTGACTTTCCTTTTATGGTTTCATGCAGACCTTCCCTTTTCTGTTAATAGGAAAATTAACAAGTTGCTGAAAGAGCATTACTGCTTAGAAGACTTATATTCTGTAAAAAAATTTGCATTTAATAATTTGATCCTTATAATTATCCATTGAAGGAATTATAATTATCCCGTGAAGAAATTCTTATAGTTATCTAGAGAAGCACAGAGCTAACCATTTTGCAAATGAGGAAACTGAGGTACACATATAAGACACTTGCCCACGGTCATTTTTAGTTAGTGGCGGAACTGGAAACCAAGGTCTCCTGATACCCACAGCACTGCAGTCTTCTGGTGCACTAGATATTAGCTACACCGTGTGAGCAGCACCTTTTCATATTCAATTGGCTCTTGACTTTTTGTTGTCTTTGACTGCCTCTTTAAAAAGTCAGTTGTTTGACTTTTTCTTTTAGATTTATTGCATTCTTTCTATATTAGGCATGCTAAGCCTTTGTTGATTGTATGTGTTACAAGTATCTACTGTGCTTTTTACTTTGTGGTGTCTTTTGTTGAACATAAGTTTTAAGATAGTCATATTTTTCAGTCCTTTTTTTGTGTCTTATTTAACAAATCCTTACCTATTTCAGGGTCATAAAGCCATTCTGTATTTTCTTCTAAATGTTTTAAAGGTTTTTACTTTCCTGTTTGGATTTTTAATCCATATGGAATTTATTTCTGAACATAATGTGAGGTAGAGAATCTAATTTTAAGTTTCTTTATAAGTTGTGTCAGCACCACTTATTGAGTAGCCCATTTTTTACTCTCAGATTTGTAATCCCTCCTCTGTCATATGTTATGTTTCTTTATATGTATGGTTTTATTTCTGAGCTCTTGATTTTGTGGAACTACTTCTGTCTCCCTGCACTAAATTCCTTACTGCCTGGATCACTGTCGTAAAGTCTTGAATCTGGTGGTACAAATGTTTCCCCTCACCATGTGCACAATTTTTCTTTTTCTTCTTGCTGGCCTTTTGCTCTTCTATATGAAATTTATAGTTATATTGTCAGGTTTCCTCCATAAAGATCTTGCACAGTTCTTTAATCAGGTTTATTTCTCGAGTATATCATCATTTTTATCACTTTCGTATATCATATGTTTTTTAAAGTAACATTTCTGAGAAAGATATGTATATATAGAAAATTGCATACATAAATTGTAAGTGTATGGCTCAGTGAATTTTCACAAAGTGACACAACCGTGTAACCGTCACCCAGATCAAAATATAGAGCATCACTTGTACTCTAGAAGCTTCTCTCGTGTCCCTTTCCAGTGTCACCCTTCCAAAGCTAACCCATAGATTAGTTTTTGCCCTTTTTGAACTCAGTATGGTTTACTTTGTGCCTGGCTTCTTTTGCTAACAATCTTTTTGTGAGATTTGTCCATGTTGTTGCATGTAGTAGTTGTTCGTGCATTTTTATTTCTTTGTAGTATTCTAGTGAATACATATACCACAATTTCTGTGTGCTTTCTACAGTTGATGGACATTTGGGTTGCCTCCAGTTTTGAGCTAAAATAAATAATGCTGCTTTGAACATTCCGGGGCATGAGTTTTCATATAGAAGAGCAAAAGGCCAACAAGAAGAAAAAGTGTGCGTGTGGTGAGGGGAAAGATTTGTACCACTAGATTCAAGACTTCATGGCAGTGATTCAGGCAATAAAGGATATAGTGCAGGGAGAGAGTAGTTCAACAAAATCGAGAGCTCAGAAATAAAGCCGTACATGTAAAGATGTATGTGTTTATCAAGAGGAGGGATTGTGTGCGTGTATTCAGTTTCAGTACATACAGTTCTCCAAGATGGCATGCCAGGTTACACTCCTCCCACAAGTGTTTTAGCTTTCTGTTTGCTTCATGTACTCGTGGACCCTTGGTATAGCAGTCTTTTTAATTCTAGCCATTCTGATGGGTGTGCAGTTATATCTCACTGTGGTTTTAATTTGTATTCCCTCAATGAATAATGATGGTGAGCTCCTTTTCATTTGTTTATTGGCTATTTGGATATCTACTTTCCAGTCTTTTGCCCATTTAAAAAATTGATTGGTAGCAGTTTTTATGTATTCTAAAGACAAGACTTCTGTCATATGTATGTATTGCTAATATGCTTGCCTTTTCACACTTTCAATGGTTTTTTTGATGAACAGAAGTTCTTAATTTTAATGTAGTCCAATTTATCAATCTTTTCCTTTATGGATAGTGTTTTTTGTTTTCTATTTAAGAAATTTTCCCCTTCCTTAAGGTCATGAATATATTCTACTGTATTATTGTATAGAAGATTTATTTTTTCAAGTTTATATCTTTTTAAAAATTATTTGTTCTATTTTGTTGCTCGTGAATAGGAACACTTTTTATCTTGTATCTTGCAACCTGCTGAATTCTTTTATTAGATGTATTGTTTGTATATTCTTTTGGGTTTCCTAGGTTGATAATTATAATACCTATAAATAATGACAGCTTTGTTTTTTCCTTTCCAATCTATATACCTTTTATTCTTCTCTGTTTCTTTCTAACTGCGTTGTTGAGGAAATCTAAGATAATTTGAATAAATGTGATTGATGATAGTAGACATCTTTGTTTTATTCCTGACTTTATAAGGAGCACTTCTTATATGTTAACATCAAGAATTCTCTTGCTTTATTTTTCAGTGGTATCTCTTTAAAGCAAAGATCTTCTATCCCTATTTTACTAAGAGTTTTTATTTTGAATGGGTATTAAATTTTTATCAAATACTCACTGCATTTATTGAGATGATCATTTTTTTTTTAATCTTTTAATCTATTAGTTTGGTGACTCAACATCAATAGCTTTTTCTGATGTTAAACTACTTTTGCATTCTTGGTAAAGCCCTACTTGCTCTTGATATGTAATCTGTATATACATTACTTGATACATAATCTGTATATACATTGCTGGACTTGGTTTGTTAATATTAATTTAGGGTTTTTGAGTCTATATTGGTATGTGAGCTTAGCCTTAATATAACTTTCTGATATTGATAGGCATAGCTTTCTAGTATTATCCTTGTCTGGTTTTTGTATCAAGACTATATTAGTCTCATAATGTGAGTTGGGGAGTTCATCTCTCTCTCTCTGTCTCTCTTCCTGTCTGTCTTATTGGGATGGTCTGTATAAAATCGGGATTATCACTTCCTTGCGTGATTGGTAGGACTTGCCTGTAAAATCATCTGGACCTGGTATTTGTGTGCGTGCATGTGCATGTGTGTGGGTTGACTTTAAATCATAGATTCAATTTCTTTAATGATTATGAGGCTGCTTAGATTTTTTCTTTTTTCTTGAGTTAGTTTTAGTAAATTATGTTTTTAGGAAATTTTTCATTTTTTCTAAGTTTTCGAAGTTGTTGACATATAGTTGTCCGTAATAGTCTCTTAGGAGTATTAAAATCTCTACTGTTTTGATGTGTCCCCTTTTTCTTTCTTGATATTATTTATTTGTGTCTATTTTTATTCTCAGTTATTCTTCACAGAAGTTTGTCAATTTTATAAGCCTTTTAAAAAGAGCTTTTAATTTTGTTGGTCTCTTTTTTAGATTTTATTGATTTCTGCTCTTTATTTACTTTCTCCTATGTCCTTGTTCTTTTTCTATCCTTTGAGCTGGACAGTTACTTTCAACCTTTGTCCTTTTCTTATACGCATTTAAAGTTGTAAATTTCTAAGTACAGCTTTACATGCTTCCTATAAGTTTTTGCTATATAGTATTTTTATTATTGTCATTTCTAAATATTTTTAAATTTCTATGATGTGTTTTTGTTTAGTTTATGAGTTATTTTGAAGTGTTTAAAATTTTTCAAACATATGTTTTTTGGAGAGTTAGCTTAATCTCGCTACGGTCAAAGAATGTGTTCTATATATAGATTCTTTCATATTTGTTAAGATTTGCTTTTGGGATAGAACATGGTCATTTTGTATAAAGGTCCAAGAGTGCTTGAAAAGAATGGGTATTCTTTTATTGTTGGGTGCATGGTTCTATATATAATCATTAGATCAAATTGGGTAATTGTGTTGATCAAATTTTCTATTTTTTTAAATTTGTTCAATTTATCAGTTATTGAGAAAGGTATAATAAAATCTCCTAGTATGATTGTAGATTCATTAGTTTCTCCTTTTTATTGTGAGCCTGTGTTATTGATATTGAGTATATTTAAGCTCAAATCATTTTAGTGAATTGTTTCTATTATCATTATGAAGTGGTCCTCATTATTTCTTTTCTTTTTTTTTTGTGAGGGAGATCAGCCCTGAGCTAACATCCGATGCTGACCCTCCTCTTTTTTGCCGAGGAAGATTGGCCCTGAGCTAACATCTGTGCCCATCTTCCTCTACTTCATATGGGACGCCACCACAGCATGGCTTGACAAGCGGTGCATCGGTGTGCATCCAGTATCCAAACCTGTGAACTCCGGACCACCGAAGCGGAGCACGTGCACCTAACTGCTTGTGCTGCCAGGCTGGCGCCCTCATTATTTCTAATAATGCATTTTGTCTTAAAATCTGTTTTGTCTACACCAGCCTTCTTTTGGTTAATACTTGCCAGGGTTATAATTTTTCCATTCCTATACATTAAACGTTTTTGTGATCTTATGTTTTTGTAAAACCTCTTGTATGTATTGCATATGACTAGATTAAAAAAATGCTGGGGCCAGCCCGATGGCATAGTGGTTAAGTCCAGCACATTTCGCTGCGGTGGCCCTGGTTCGCGAGTTCAGATCCCAGGCACGGACCTATACTACTTGTCAAGCTGTGCTTTGGCAGCGACCCACATACAAAATAGAGGAAGATTGACACAGATGTTAGTTCAGGGCTAATCTTCCTCAAGTGAAAAAAAAACAGGAAGATTGGCAACAGATGTGAGCTCAGAGCAAAATTCTTCCTCACCAAAAGAAAAAAAATTCTTACTGAGAATCTCTAACTTTTAACTGGTCTTTTTGTTCTGTTTCTATTTATTGTGATTACTGAGTTTTTGTATTTCTGTGATTTTATTTTGTGCTTTCTCTTTATTGCAATTTTGTTTGTTTTTTCTTCTTTCCTCCTTTCTATTGGATTAATCAATTTTCTTTGTTCCTTTTTTTTCATCCCCGCTGATTTGGAAGTTATACTTTTTATTTTTTATTGTTTTGGTGGTTACTCTCAATTTCTTTTTTATCTTTTTATGGAAATAAAAAAGCACTTATAGAAAAATGCAGCTGTCACAAGAAAACAGCTTGATAATTTTCACAAACTGAAAATACTTTTGTTATCAGCACCCAGATCAAAAACCAGAACATTCCCAGCATGTCAAAAGTCCTTTTTATGCCCCCTTCTAATAACTTACCACGTTCTACCCCTTGCAGGTAACTATTCTGACCTCTCATGGCATGAATTAGTTTTGTCTGTTGTACCTCAGTATATATTCTTGTATCTGGCTTTTGTATTTTACAGTCTGTATTCTTGTGTCTGTCTCTTTGCTCAAAATTATGTTTGTGAGGTTCATGTAAATTCTTCTGTGTAGTTGTAGATTTTTCTTTCCCATGGCTGTATAATATTTCATCCACAAATACCACTATTTATCCATTCTAATATTGATGAGCATAACTTAAAATTTTTAACATGCATACTTGGTTTAAAAAATCTAAAGTTGCAGGTGTAATTTCCATTGTTTCTAGCTCCAGTTCTTCCTCTTGGAAAGTATAGTGTTATTCTAAATTTTGATCCTTTATGGATAATTTTTGGCTGTTTTCAAGATCTCTTTGTCCTTGATTTTCTGCCTTCACAAGATTTCTAAGTATGTATTTCCTTTTATTATCCTGTTTGGTACTAGTGTTTCTGAATCTGAAGATTCACATTTTTGATCAGTTCTGAACATTCTCAGCCATTAGCCTGTTAACTTAAGAGCAATGAGGTTTCAAGCATGATGGTGACACAAGCAAATAAATGTTTTTAAAAAAATTATTCTGCTGCTTACTGGTTGGTTACACTGGGCAAAACATTTAAATGGCTTGTGCCTCAGTTTCTCATCTGTACAGTGGGGACAATAATAATCTCTGTTCTTCCTACCTCAGAGAGGTGCTTTGAATGTCTATTAGAAGAATGTACTTGAAATTGCCTTGCAAATTATAATATGCTATACGAATAACAGGATCTTCTTACTGTAGATGTTCAATAAAATGTGTGTGACTGAATCTCAATAAATGTTTGTTGAATAAATAAACAAATATAGGATAACATTACTTAAATATTTTTATTCTCTTTCTCCTCCCCATAAAGAAATGCAAGAATATTTGTATTACTTGTGGGAGTGATCTATATACATTATAGAATGTATATGAAAAATCATCATGGTGGTTTAGACATAAAATAGAACTTCATTCCACTCTCAATGCTATTGATTTTCTAAAATATAAGCCCTTGTTGCCACCATTGGGTGGTGGTTAATGTTTCTAAATTACTGTTGTCACTTTTGTCTGTACCAGCCATCCGATACGTTGCATATCCTTGTCTTAGTATTCATTTTAAAATGAATTAATTTATTTCCTATGTCTCCGATTAGATTTTATGGATACCATCTAATGGAAAGTTCATGGATTTAAAATTAGGCAGATCTGGGACCAAATCTTGGCTTTACTATTTCATAACCTTGTGACATTAAACAAGTCACTTTACCTTTCTCATCTCCTGTTTATTTTTTCTAAAAAATAAGTAATTAATTCACTTACGGAGTGCCTGCCATGTGGATAATGCTCTTTTAGGTATTTGAATTACTTAATTTGTATCCTTGTAGCAACTTGGCCACACAGATATTATCCCTGTTTTACGGGTAAGAAACCTGATACTCGGAAAAGTAGAGTAACCTGCCTCCGGTCTTAAAACTGGTATGCATCATAGCCAGGATTTTCACCTGGGGTGTCTCATTATAAAGCCTGTGCCTTCACTAATATCTGAGAAAGCGTTTAGCACAATAGTGGGTACCTAGTTGACACTCAGTAAATGTAGATTCTTTTTTAGGGCAGTGATAACGTTCTATAATTTTCCAGTGCTTGGCATTTTCCCCTGCACATAGTAGGTACTTCTTCACTAATTGTTCATTATCTCTGTTTATGCTGCTATTTTTTTATTCATTGAATGTTGACTTTCTAGCCAAAGGGAAAGGACAGTCCCAAACTAGAGTGAATCTTAACACTGCCTTGGTTGAGGATATAATCAGCTTGGAAGAGGTGGATGAAGAAATGAAGTCTGTGGTGGAAGCACTGAAGGATAATTTCAATAAGACTGTCAATATCAGGACCTCACCAGGTTAGTGACTGAACCAGTGTTTTGGAGAGGGGCGTAGTGGGAAAAGCATGGCTTTGGCAGAGTTGGGTTTTAGTCCCAGCTTTGTCACTTACTAACTGGTGACCATGGGCTGTCACTTTACTTTTCTGGTCCTCAGTTTCTGTGTCTACTTCCTACCTTATGGCTTGGGGATGGGTATTAAAATAAGTGAGGTAACATATGTAATGGTTCTAGCTCAGTGCCTGGCACATACTTCACAACATTTATTTATCCATTCAGCAAATATTTGCCTACTATGAGCTAGGTATTGTGCTAGTACACAGTGGTGAACAAAAACAGGCATGGTCTTTGCTCTCGTGGAATTATACTCTCAAAAAATGAGAGTTTTATTATGACTATACTATAAACACTTCCAGGTATTTAGTCTCACAGTAACTGTCATCTTTGGTCTGATTTTTCCAATTTGTCGTATTTGGCCATTGTTATCCATTACTGGAAACCAAGTGGCTGCAAACCTGCCCACCTGAGGCATTTCTGTACCCCTAGGCTTGACCAGGAAGATTCCGTTTGGGTTAATAACTTCCTGAAAATGGCTTTTCTAAGTGGGAAATGTCAGAACTGTCTAGGAGAACTGTTTGCAGATGTGATGGAAGAAGTGAGTTGTCAGCTAATGGTGCAGGCAGGCAGGAAAAATCCAATTGCTATTAAAGTGGCCTTTTGGAAATTGTCGTCATCCTAGAGTCAAGCCTGGGATCCCCTCTAAAGGTATCTGTGGGAGCTCAGACTGTTCCCACTCACATCTTGGTTGGGATAGCTCATAAGGAAACTAGAAAATATTTCATGAACTTGTTCTTAAGCAAACCAAGTGAAAAATATACAGCTGCATTTATAAACACGAGCAGAAACATACTGAGTTCAGAGACGAGATCCAGTGTGAAACCAGGAGACCATTCCGTCATTTGTCAACCTTTAGACTGGGGCATTTCTGCCTTTGCTGACAGTAGAGTGTGCCATTCAATCTCTCCCAACTGTTTATTTTAAACTTGCTTATTATTTTAGGTATGAAACTGATAAAGTGCTTTGTCTCCCCTGTGCTTTCTGGCCTGTTAACATTCTGCAGCCGAAACCAGAGCACAGTTTGAGAGGAGCTCAGGGAGAAATGTGATACTTAAAATTAGCCAGCAAGCTCCACTCTTGTTGAACTTAAAAAGATGATGGGTCTGGAAAGAGGTTGGGAGTGTAATTTGTTAAATGTTAACCTCTGAGAAAATGCGGGGCAGTAATGAGGCTGAGGGAGATTCTCGCTGGGGACAGATTGAGGGGAAAGGATTTGATGCATTATGTCGATATGGATTTGGGGAATGGGAACCACCACAATTGCATACTGAAAAACCCATGTTGGGACTTCTGTGGCAAAGGATCTTATAACAAATCAGGAAGGCTGAATTAAGATCCATTTTCAGAAGGCCTCCCATTGGTATTTCTTCTTTGCTTCTTTCTCTTCTGGGTTGTGTTTGTGTAATGTTCTATGTAGAACGGAGGCGATGAAGAAACTGGGTGAAACAGGCTGAACTCAGCCAGTCTTTTTTTTGCCAGATTCTTCCATATCATCTTTCAGTACTATGTGAACCAGCAGGCACTTTTCCTCTTACACCTCCATCTGTCTACTAGCAATTTCTATCTCCGAGATGGTTGATTACTTTTAATAGTTGTCTGAGATGCGAGTTTATTCATTTGTTTGTTCTTGTCCTCTTCTTCATCCATACATACATACATTCATTTATTCAGCACAGCATTACTGAGCACTTATTCTGTGCTGATTAATAGGTGCTGTAGATAGGGAAGAGACGTTGTCCCCACCGTCCAAGAACCTAGAGCCTAATGTGAAGGGACAGACAATTAAAGCAACATGTATAAAACCATGTAGCAAAGCAGAGTAGTGAAGACCATGGCTTTGGAATTGGTCAGATCTGGGTGTAGATTCTGGCTCCATTATTAAGAGCTCTTGTGACCTTGGGCAAGTTACTTTCTGAACCTCAGTTTCCTCATAGGTGAAATGGTGGAACTATCTCATAGGGTTATTGTGATAATGAAAGCAAATAAATTATGGAAAGCATTTAGCACAATGTCTTGCTCATAGGAAGTGTTGAACAAATATTGGGTACCATCATTATTACAGAAATGTGCATAGGACGCTTGGGAGCTCATAAGGGGGTTTGTAATCCAGCCTAGGAGATCAGACAAGATTTCTGAGATTAGATGCAATTATAGCTGAGTGTTAAAGAATGAGCGGGAGTTATTTGCGCAAAGGAGGGTGTTCTCAATAGAAAGAAAGATATGCTAAGGGTCCTGAGGCAAGAAAGAAGAGACTGTATTAGAGAAACTCTAAGTAAGTGAGTTTGGTTAAAACATAGGAGAAAGTCAAGAAGTAATAATAATAGTTAACATTTATTGGGCACTTGTATATGCCAGGACACAGTCATAAGTGCTTTCCATAAACCGTTTCATTTAATTCTCATAACAACCCTATGAGATAAGCACGATTTTTATGCCTCATTTAGAGATCAGGAAATAGACGCCCAAAAGGTTGAAGGGCTCTGCCCAGTGTTGCACAATCAGGAGGTGGCAGAGTTGGTATTTGAACGCAGGTCAGTGGTCTTCAGAATCATGGAGACTTTTACCATTATATCTCCTGGACTTTTCCAGATTGAAGCCAGTGGTATTGACAACTTTCTGTCTTGTGATGACATTGACTCTGGTTGAGTACTTCAAATCGGATCTTTGGGCCGTAGTATGATACTGCGTTATTCTACCATTAGTTTGCCCAGAAAACTCCCAATTTGTGTCCAAGACCCACTCCCCACCACTTTCTCTTTGTGTCTAAGTTTGAGCCAGCCAGGAGTGGTTCCTACTGTGAATGATAAGGTTTTTCTTCTAGTTCTCATTTGCATAGGAAGACGAGGAGTTGGAGTAATGCCCCCTTTCCATCTGTAACTGTGGCTTTATTTGCTTGCCTTCTTGGTTTGCTGAAAATTTTGCCCCGGGTTTTCCAGAATTCAGATATGGATGGAGATCCTATCCAGGATAACAATGAAATGTTAATAGTTGGTGTTTTTGTTTGTTTTTTCTTTCTAAAAGGGATCTACATGCCAGAATCAAGGTGATATTAGGGAATGGTTCTAAACTAGGTTGCGTGTCAGAATCGTGGTGATCTTAAAAAAAATTGCAGGCTCCCAAGCCCCTACAGAATCAGGAGCTCTGGGGGTGGGGTCCAGGAATCTAAATTAAAGAGCTCCCTGGTGATTCGACGCACAGTCAAATTTGAGTTCCACTGGTGTGTGGGGAAGAGGCTTGATTGGAATCAGAATTAAGCACACCTGAGTTTGGGACCTGGCTCTTGATTGTTTTTCCTTTTGTTACCTCTATGATCTTGGTCCATTAAACCTCCCAAAGTCTCGTTTTGTCATGTGTAAAGTGGAGATAGTAATAGAAATGTTACAGAGTAGTTGTAAGAACTAAAAGTGCTAATAAGAGGTACTTTTTTTTTTATTGTGAAATTTTTGTTGTACATTATTGTTTGTCAGTCACCATATAAATGCATCCCTCCACCCATAAGAGGTACTTTTTTAATGCTTATTTTTTGGTGCCTCTTGTATTCTTGGTTGTTTATATTTAGCCGTAATCCTGACTCAAATCCTATAAGGTAGTTATTTTTTGACTGTGTTGGAAACCAAGGTACAGAGAAGATAAGTAACTTGCCTGAGGTTTCATAGTTAGTAAATGGCAAAGTTGCTGGAGGGGTGACCAACTCTTTCTAGTTTTAGCTCTAAAAGTCCTGTGTCGCAGGAAACCCCTCAGGCCCCTGCAAAGCCACCCTAATTGCTGGTGAGGAATTCCAACCTAGTTCTGTCAGCATTTCACAGCTCTTCTGCTCCTGTGAAAGCCCCTTCAACAGTTTTGCCACGCTGATAAGGGATCCCTAAATATTAGTTGAATCTGAATTAGAGAGGGATTTAGATGTGGGGCAACTAGGGTCCCTCTGAATTCTTAAGACCCTATAATTTTTCTTTTAGGATCCCTTGATCATATCACTGTGGTAACTGCTGATGGGAAGCTTGCTCTAAACCAGATTGGCCAGATCTCCATGAAGTCGCCACAGCTGATTTTGGTGAATATGGCCAGCTTCCCAGAGGTAAGGTGGCCTTGCTGAAAGGGTCCCTCTCCATGGTCTCTTTTGGGATGGAGGAGGCTGGGTCAAGTCAGGAGGAAGTATTCCCTCCAGCTTGGGATGTAACAAGAGAGAAGGCATGTTAAAGGGAACTTAAGGATAAGGAAAAGCTCTCTTCCTGTTTCTAAATTCCTATAGAGGTCAGGCAAGTAATTTGAATACTGAAACAGGCCCCATCTAAGAAGAATAATTGTGGCAATGCAGTGATTGGCGCTTGGCCAGTGTGGAGGGGGCTGTGGTAAACTGGAGAGCCTGTGCCCTGTCTGAAGGGAGCAGCCTCTGCCCAGCTCCTGCTGATCATTGCCAGGGAGAAATGTAGGCCTGGTAATCACTGTTACCAGGTAATGATTTTTATTTCTGGAAGAAGCCAGTAATCCACATTTTTATGTAAGATCTTTGTTAAATATTGATAACTAATTCACTTTTTCTTTAAGACTGTGAGACAAAGTGTATTAATGGGCCATATTTGGCCTGTGGGCCACGAGTTTGTGACCTCTGCATTAGTATTTGGAACAGACCCTCCAAGAATTCCTGTTCCTTTCAAACTGAACTGACCGTTGCAGAATATTCACAGAGCACAGTGCCTCCAAGGCTGGAAGGTGGGTTGCATTAGATCATTGCAGCCTAGAGACTATGATTTCAAGTCTAGTTGTGGAAGATAAATGGACTTTTCCTTATTGGTCCAGTTGGGATTGACCTGGATTAGGAGTCCTTGAGGACCTGGAATCTGGTCTTGTCTCTACTGCCAATGGGCTCTTTGACGCCCATTTTCTCATCTGTTAGTATGAGGTGAAGGAATCTGAAGTCCTTTCCTATTCTGATTGTCTGTTTCAGTAGTTCTATCCCAAATACATAGATCAAAGTTGAATCTGCTGGATGACAAACTGGTTTAGAGATATGAGTAAGGGAAAGCCTTTGCTATGAAGAAACTGTTTCAAATTAGAGGGCTCTTGTAGCTAATGTGCCAGGCACACTTGCGGAGGGCTATGCCTCACCACTCCCCCATTTCATTCTCCATACTGCAGCCAGAGTGAACTTTTAAAAATATATACTGAATCATGTCATACCCGTGCTTTAAATTTATCAGTGGCTTCAAATAATCTTTAAGAAAAAGATTATTGTGGCCTAGAAGGCGTTGCATATGGCCCCTGCCTGTCTCTGTAACTTGTCCAGTCTTGTGCCACTGTCGTCCTTGCACACTGCTTTAGCCACGCTGGCCTTTCAGTTCCTCAAACACCCCGCACCGTTTGCATCCTCAGGGCCTTTGCATATGCTCTTACCTTTGCTTGAACCACTCTTGCCTGGCTAATTGCTACTCATATTTTGGATCACAGCTTAAATGTGACTTTCTCAGGGAAGCCTTCTCTAATCTGCCCAATCTAAGTTGTTCCTCCACACTAACCTCTCTTATACAGCACGGTTCTTTTTCTTCATTGCACTTATCGTTAATAGTTATACATTTATTTACATCTTTATTTTACATCTCACTTTCACTGGATTGTAAGCTTGGACTGTAGGGATCATTCTAACTTGTTCATTGTGTCCAGCACCTAACCGTGGCTGGCACATGGGAACACTGAGTAAATTTTCCTCAAAAGGATGAATACCTGTCATTAGGTTGATAGAAGGAAGGCACTCATTCCTGGTGTTACTGAGGAGCAGAGAAACAGACGAAAAGGGAATTGTCAACTCTTTCCCTTTCTGGCTCCCTGTGAACCGCTGAGACCTCTCCACCTTATTCATCTAATCCCACAGGCACTGCGGGCCAATTTAGGGAATAGCCTCCTAATTACACAGCTTGAAGGCCTCATCAGGCAGATTGCTTTTCAGAGCCAGCCACTTCTGTTATTAAATAGCAAACGGCATTCACAGAAGAAGCACCTGATTGGCCACCAGAGCATCTTATGAGGCAGGAGGAGGTATTAACAGCTTAATTTTTTCTTAGGAAGTTGGAGTATATCTTCATTTTTCAACTAAAGCATCTTTGCCATTTCTGCAAGTTGAAATTCTGTGGGTTTTTGAAAAAACCTTTACAAGCATCTCAGTAGAGAGGTTCTTTACAAGGACAGAGTGAGGAAGTGTGAGTTACGTTGTCTTTTGAATTCCTTTATCTCATCTGGTGTATATATTAAACAAAGAGCTCTAACTAAACATTTCCTTCCTCCAGTTTAGAAGCTGTCCATAGAGTACCCAGGTTCATAGCTTCAAAATGCTGAGCTAATCCTCTCTGTGTTTATGTAATTCCTTTCTGTTTCATATGTGGTTGGCTTTCTTTCCAAACCTGAGCATTTCTGTGTCATGCTGTAGTGACATGATGCAGATTTACATGCATAATCTTTTCAAATGCATTGAAGACAGAAAACTGTGTTGCATTTGTTTAACATGTGTCCTGCTTGATAAATGATACACACAGTTGCTGCCTTCCATAAACTTGCCTGCAGCTAGAGTTAATGATGGGAAAGAAAAGAAGGGAGTAAAAACCACAGCATGATTTGAACAAGGCAAATGGAAAAAGAAATTCTACAGGCTCCATTATTGCTCTTGTGGAAGAGAGAAAGCTAATGTGTGTTGAGTGTCTGCTGTTGCCAGGCTACTTTCTCATGTTTTGTTTCATGTGAGCGACACAGGTACTCTAAAATTCAGCATTATTTATTCCATTTTATAGATGAGGAAACTGAGGATCAGAGAAGTAAAATTTCTCTCCCAGGTTCACACTGTGGTGATAAAGCCAAGATTTGAACGTAGGTCTATTTGACCCTAAAGCCTGTGCTCCTTTTACCATTCCTTCATTAATTCCACAAATATGTATATATATATTTTTTTTGGTGAGGAAGATCAGCCCTGAGCTAACATCTGTTGCCAATCCTCCTCTTTTTGCTGAGGAAGCTTGGCCCTGGGCTAACATCTGTGCCCATCTTCCTCTACTTTATATATGGGATGCTGCCACAGCATGGCTTGATAAGCGATGCGTAGGTCTGCGCCCGGGATCCAAACCTGCAAACCCGGGCCACCGAAGTGGAGCATACGAACTTAACCACTATGCTCCCGGGCTGGCCCCTCAACAGATATTTTTTTGAATCCCTGCAAGTTACTGGTTTTTATTTAAGGTGCTGGACTTCATTGATGATTAAGACAGACAGGGTCTCTCCTTTCATAGATCTTACCTTCTAGGGACTCACTGGGATATAAAGAAAATGGAAGGCCGGTAATTAAAATGGCCCTAACAAAGTGGACTTAAACCCAAATTGCCAAGGGCTTGTTCACTTATCTACAAAAGTTTTATCGTGTTTTGTCCGTTAGCATAGATTAGCTAAAGAATAGCAATAGCAGACATTGCTAATTGATCACAGCACTTTTTCCTGCCTGCCCCCAGATGGAGTCTATGATCTTTCTCAATGCAGTATTCCCAGCAGCCACAGCCAGTTGGTCAGTGTTGCCGTTTGAGAACAGCGATTTGCTCTGGGGTACTGGTGAGCATACCTCAGTGAGAGGATAAAGGCTAAGTTAAGAGAAAGAAATTGATAGAAATATGTGCCTTGTGGCTGAACCATGAGTAGTTCGGAAGTCATGTTGGGAAAATGACTAATTCCCTGAATTTCTGCATCCTACCATATCAAACTAAAATATACTTATTTAGAATATTTTAGAAGAACTACCTTTTTTAGTAGGTTTCTTTGCAAAATGAAACCTCTCTTGATTTGCATTTTTTCTGCATATGAAAGAACACTGAAAAAGTAAAGTATAAAATAAGTTTTTGGAATTATGTACATGAAGTAGAGCAAGGAGATGAGTTTTTCTAACAGATCTGAGCCAGTTCATTAATATAGTCATTCAGCAGGCTTTTACTGAGCTCTTACCGTGTACCCGGCACTGAGCCTTGTACTGGAAAGATGTAAATATCAAGGCGTAGTTCCTTCCCAGCTTGGTAGCAGCAGTAGCTGCTCCTGTGCCTACAGGGGAGGATTATATGGAAACAGTTGGGCCAGACTGGGAAAGGGAGGTATGGTGAGCAGCGAGTTTATCAGTGATTCAGTGAGAAGCTTCAGAAGAGGAGGACTGGGAGACCTGAGATCAGGCCACCCCTTCAAAGTGGAGATTCTTTAGAAATCTGCATTTCATTTTACTAAAGAAGAAGGCAGTTCTTTTGCAGAGGAAAATTTCATTTCTTTATCCAGCTCTTTTATTTACCTTGGCCTTACCCTTTATACACCAGACTTAATTCCAAATTATTTTTGGCTATTTAAAAAAAAATCAAATCCCATGTGCCACAATTCCCAACTACTTTGAGCTAGGGGATCTGGAAGAAAATATAGACAAAGTAACATCATTGGATGGAGAGTTGAGGAGCCTAGAGTCTCGTCTTAACTCTGCCAGTAACTGGCAGCATGATGGCTGAGGTCCTCACTCCACTGCTCTTGGCTCTCAAGGAAGACCATGTCTGTACTTAGGGATGTGACCTTATCCAAAGGTCCCTGTATACATAAGGAAGGGCCTGTACTTGGTTATGTCAGAGATCCCTTCCAGCTCCAGTAGTCTGTGGTCAGAGGTACCATTTTAGGAATTCACTATTTTAAGCAGTGGCCACACTGTTAAATTCTGTCTACAGCCTCCCAAGGTGATGATTTGTCTGCATGTGTGAGTGTGCAGACGAATGGTAACACGTCATGTCCTTGTAGAATTAAGGTCATTTAAAAATGAAATGGATAAACTTTTTAGGCACTCCCTCAAAAAACAAGACAAAACCTGGAAAAGTAAAATACACGTGCAACAAACCTCATTCATTTAAACCAGAAAGTCTAGGGAGGAACTCAAGGCCAAGAATTGGCCCCGTGACTCCAAGTGATGTGGATTGGCTCTGGTCAAACCTAAAATTCTTTTGAAAATGTCAGAGGCCTTGTTTTATGAATTCCACATTGTTGTGCCAATGAAAGTTTCCCTCTTCCACACTGCTTTCTTTCATCCTTTAGGATTGTATACCAGGTGTGGTTATAATGTTGCTTGAAGTGAGGTGAGGCACTTTGGGAAATCAATGTACAGTGTACTGCCTGGCACATTGGAGAGCAAGACTGTGTCAGAGAAGACCCTGGAGGATGTCAGACAGGACAGCAGTGTATCAGCTAAGCGATGACTGCAACTTAGCCTCGTTTTGGGGGTTTGTGCGTTCTGACCTTTATATAAGAAATTTACATAGTAATGCTCCTTTCCTGGTTGTTACTGTGTGCCAGGCACAGAACAACAGCATTGCTCGTGTTATCTCATTTAATCCTCTCTGAGGTACCATGTGGTCTCAGATTACGAAGTAGAGGCTCTGAGAATTCAAGCTTGTTACCCAGGGTCACATGGTTAGCAGACCCAGGGTTTGAACCAAGATCTTTCTGACTCCAAAGCCCATGCTTTTAACTAGTACGCCATACTGTCTTTCCTGGAGCACACACCAGCAGAGACTCATTGCTCATTCCAAAACATAAGTGAGTGTAGATGCGAATGAGTTAAATTTATTTACTCATTCCAAATCGGCACTGGTATATTTTGAGTGTAAAATGTCAACTGGAATTTTTAATGTATAAAATCTTTCATCTGTCTTTACACCAATCTTTGCACAGACCAGCCCCCCTCCCTTGAGGATTTATTGTGGTTTTGATCTGTGTTGCCTCAAACCATTGAAATCTTTTCAAAGAAGCAGAGCTGTTTTCTTTTTATTTTTTCCTTCTCTTTGCTTTTTTCCTCCCGCAGTACACTCGTACCAGGAGTGGACATAGTTTGCTATTCAGCTTGATCAAAGCACTCTACACCAATGTAACTTCCTGATCTTACTGGTAACAGAACTAAATGTTTCCATGTTCTGCCAAGATGGGTTGCCAGTTATCGACAGAGGGCTTGCATCTGGTAATAATTATTTACTAATTCTGTTTACCTTTTGATCTGGTTTTCAGTGTACAGCTGCAGCTATCAAGGCTATAAGAGAAAGTGGAATGAATCTGAACCCAGAAGTGGAAGGGACGCTAATTCGGGTACCAATTCCCAAGTAAGTTTGGCCGAAATGCACATATTTTGATGCAGTGGGGCAGTTGTCCTTTGAAGGAAACTAACACTCCATGGTACTTGTAGGCCAGTAACTTACCTTACCTTACCTCTCATCCTGGCAAACTCTGACGTCTTTTGAGATCCACTTGACTGGTTCAGAAATATTTATTGAGTGCCTATTATGCTCTAGGGGCTGGACATGCAGCAGTAAACCTGGCAAAGTCCTTGTCCTCCTGTATTTTACATTCTCGTTGGAAAGATAAGACACATGAATAGATCAAGTCATTCCAGATAATAAAATGCTATGATGAAAGAAAGCATTGGGATCCAGTAGAGTGACTTGATGAGGGTGATGGTGGCAGGGACAACTTCAGCCTGAGAGGCCTCTTTAAGGAGGTAACATTTTCGCTGAGAGCTGAATGATGAGGAAGAGCTAGCCTAGAGGAAGAGCTTTCCAGGCAGCTTGTACAGCCAGCACAAAGGCTCTGAGTCAGAAAAGACCTTGACACTTGTATTCTCTATCCCATGTTCCTTGAAGAGCTGTTTGTACGTTAGTCCCTGCTTGTTGAAGAATTTTAGGCATAAGAACAGAATATTGTTACTTGTATAAATATATAGAACTTACAGTTTTAAGTGAATAAAAATGTATGTTTATTTTTAAATTAAGAAAGGAAAGAAATGACAAGACCTTGGCATGTTGGAGAAAGAGAAAGCCAGTGTGTCTGAAACTCAGTGAAGGAGGGAGAAGGTGGTACAAGAGGATTGGGCTAGTGAGTAGAGGCTGATGGTTTGACTGGCCGCGGTGAGGAGTTTGGGCTTTATTCTAATTGTAATGGGAAGCTGTTGGACGGATTTAAGCAGAAGAGTGACCCGATCTGATGTTGACTTTTTCTCTGGCAGCTGAGTACCAAATGGGATTTAGGGGGACAGAGCAGACATGAGGAGAATAGTCAGGAGGCAACATAAATCTTACCAGACTCCATTGCAGGTAGAATTAGTTTCTCCTTCTGCAATCTCATTTCTTAGATATCTTTAAGTCTTTATTCCTACACAGTGCCTCACATATAGCAAATCCCAAATAAGTGTTGGATTAATTCAGTCAGTCATTCAACAAATATTTGTTAAGCGCTAACTACATGCCAGGCACTTTCCTAGTTGTTGGGATACAGCCGTAAACAAAGCAGACAACACAAAGTCCCTGTCCTCCTGGGGCTTACCTTCTAGTTGAGTAGACACAGCAAGTAGAAAAGCAAATACGTAATGTAATGTCACGTGATGATAAGGACTATGAAGAAAACTAAGCAGGATAAGGCGATAGAGCTGGGGGTTTTATTGTAGACGGGAAAGTTCAGGAAGGAAGTGACATTTGAGCAGAGACCAAAGTGAGATGAATGAATGAAGCTTCCAAATAACTAGAAGGGAAGTAGAGGGTAACACTAGTCGAGAGTCTTTTTGCGCCACGCATCACCTTGTATTCCTTTACGTATATTGCTTCATTTGTCACACAATTCCTGTGAAGTAGGTTTTTTCCAGGTGTGGAAATTTTGCCTCAGAGAGGTAAAGTAATATCTCTGAGGTCACACAGCTTATGCTGCAGCTGGAATCTAAACCCAGATTTAATTGATTCTGAAGCCTGATGATGTACCCATGCTGGCAACAAGAAATAATCCCAACACTGAGAGTCCAGGAACTTTCCCCACTGAACTTTTTTCCTGTCTCGTAGCCCGAAAATGGCCGTCTTATTCCATTGTGTTCTTGGTACTCTGTAAGTCAGAATTAACCCTCTGCTTTGAAATCATTGGGAGCAATATAACCTAGTGTTTTAAGAACCAGATAGGCCTGGGTTCAAGTCCACTACCTGTTTGTTTGGTTAGTTAGTTGATTTGCTCAGCAAATTTTCTACAAGTGTATTGTGTGCCAGGCTCTGTGCTAAGTGCTTGGGGGTGTACAGACCTGATGTTTGCCTTCATGGAACTCACAGGCTGTGCCAGGCCCCTTGTTTATATTACCTGCAGCTTATGTGTGGAATTTACAATTATCTACAGTTTATAGATGAAAAAATTGAAATTCAGAGAATTAAGGGACTTGCCCAAGATCACATGGCCAGTAAGTGGCAGTCAGGGTTTGACTCCTGAGTTTTTCTGTTACCAGAGTACAGGCTCTTTCTCCCGCACTCTCTGTGTAGATGGGTAATTCAGCAAAGTGCCAAGTGTGCTTATGGGCGTTAGAAGCAAGACTTGGAAGTGGAGTGGATAGTAATCAGCAGGTTTATTTTTTGGTTTTTGCTCTGTCTGTGAAATCTTGGAAAAGCCACTTAACTTCCCTGAGCCTTGGTTTCCTCATATACCAGATGAATGGGTTGTTCTCAGTGGCCTGCCAGGTCCCTTCTAGGAGAGCTCAGAAATTCTGTGATGCTATGAATTTGTGCTGCTAAGTACTCGTTGCTGACTTGGATTCTTCTTAGAGTGGCCTGATTGTATGTCATATTTTTCTTTCAAAGATCTGGTTGACATAACGTGCACTTCTGCAGCCCCACAGGAGTTAATGATTGCCCTTGTGCATTGTATATAAGTTCGAAGGATCAGTGAGTTAACTTGAACTTCCAAAGACTTGGAGATCTGTTACATTATATTTTACCTTATTTTTTGTTGGTTAATGGGTGTAATCCAAGAGAAAGTTGACGGACCAAAACCGTCTGCTCCTGCAAACCTCATTTTTTATATACTTTCTTCCCTTTGACAAGGTGGTAAGGTCATGAGGCCCCTTACTGAATTATACATTTGGTAGTTTTCCAGATAAAAAATGAATGATCTGTTCTTTATTATGGAGGCTGTGTCATGTGAGAGGATAAAGGTTGCTTCAGATGTAAAGAGGACCAAGGTTTCTATTTGATTTTGGCAGTGACTTCCATATGACTCTGGGTATGTCACCCTAGCAGTTGCTATCTTCTAGTTCCTTATTTGTAAAATAAGTGAAATAATACATAATGATATGTAGAGATTTGGTGGGATTAGTAGAGAAAATAGATTAATTAGTATGATTTCATTAGATGAAAGAAGTTATATAAATATAAGATACTAATATTATTTCAGTAAACTTTTAATTTTCTAGATATATGTAATTTTACTTTAGGAGGAAGGAGTGAGGAAGGGAACTAATATGTTGGGTACCTACTGTGTGCCAGAAATTATTGGTGTTTGACATATGCAGGGAAAGTGGAAAAGAGTAATGGTAAATTTGTGCCTTGGTATCACAGAAGCATGAAATTGAGTTCTGGCTTTTCTTTGATTTTGGCAGTGACTTCCATATGACTCTGGGTATGTCACCCTAGCAGTTGCTAGGGAATCAGAAGCATAAGTTCCTAGGATCAGTTTCTGATGATAAAATATCAAGTTTTGTTCTAGAGTTCTTTCCCTTTTTAGCTGTGTGACAATGGCAGCTGTCTTCACCTCTCTGAATCTCAGAGAGCTCATCTGTAAAATATTTACAGGACTTGCCTTATATGGTTACTGGGAGATTTCGGTGAGATACTGTATACAAAGCTTTGGCTGTTTAGCAACAACCCGTTAATGCTAGCACATGTTCCTTCATTCCCTTTCATAAGTGGGTAGGAGCATCATTCCCATTCAAGGATGAGGAAACTGAGATTCAGAGGTGAGGCATTGGTTCCACCTCACACAGCTGGGAATTGGCAAAGCTGTGAAGAGGAAAATAACACACGAAAGCTTATGTTAGGAGTTTGGGAGGTGGGAGGGGATCAGAAGCATAAGTTCCTAGGATCAGTTTCTGATTATAAAATTTCAAGTTTAGTTCTAGGAAAATTTGCCTTTCCTGATTGATCATGATTTGTCCTCTGCCTAATGGTAGTCCACAAGTTTGCTTTTTTGCCTTAACCCTGGATGCTGAGAGCTAAGTTTTATTTTCAATTGCAGCAGATCTCAGCTCAGACCTCACCCTCTTTACACTCCTCTGATTCTTATATTCTTATTGAAATGAGTCTATTGAGTATGTGACTTTTACTGTAACCTGCCTCTGATCCTTTTGGGAAGTAGGTGGAAGATAAATCCTAAATAAATCTGGGGTTTTGTTTGTCCCCACTGACAATGTGTATAGTTTTGTTTTCTTCTCTGGCCAGTATTCTTTCATTTAGAGAAGTCAGTCAACTGGATGGATTCTTTGAACGTTCCTGTTAATCAAGATTCACTGAGTTTCTTCTATTTTTCTTTCCTATTTATGTAATCAAATTTTAGGTACTATTTATTAACCACCTACACTACAAGTGTAGTGCCTGGATGTGCCGTGCTGAATGCTTTATAGTTTCTCCTTGAATTCTCACAGCACTACTGTGAGGTCAGGAGACTCTTCTTATGCCCATTTGACAGATGAGAGACCTGAAGCTCACCGCAGGTAATGCCCCAAGTCGTGAAGTTACTAGGTGAAAGAAGCAGGATTAGAGTGCGAGTCTTTTTTATTGCCTTTTCCCCTGTTCTTCTCCTGATAGCAGGTCTCTCTGGAACATCAGCCTTTCACTCCTCAATCAGGGACCCTGAAAAGTTTTGAGCAGGAGTTCACTTTGATCAGTCCAGATTTCTGCCCTCACCCCATTCATACCTTCATCATGCCCCCAAACAAACAAACGAACACTCCCTTACTCATTGTTTTAGCAAACATCACTGAGAAAACCACTCGAAGTAGAAGGAGGCTGCTTTGGTTTGAAAGCACTGAGTTCATGTCTGGCTTTAAATTAAGTGCGAGGAATCATGAATTCACTGAAGAAATAAAAGTACGTGTGATTGACTCATTCCCCACCGAGGTTGCATCCTTCCTTGATTGTCCGCCTCTTTATTTTTCATCAGTGTGTGCATTGGGTTTATTTTAAGTAGAATTAAATAAAAAATTAAAACACCTCTGTCCTAGTGTCCCTAGGGAACCACTTTTAGCACCTTGATTTTCTGGATTTTTTTTTGTATGCAAATTCAAACACATGTCTATATCTCCTTC